GGTGGCGATGGTGAAGGGCGGTGGCGATGGTGGTGGTGGTGACGGCGATCATCGTCGTGGACTCGTGGTAATGGCAATGATGGTGGTAAGGGTGGGGGTGGTGGTGGCAGTGATGGTAGTGGCGGTGGAGGTGGTAGTGGTGACGGTGGTGGTGGTGGTGGCCGTGGTGGCGGCGACGGTGTTGGTGTTGGTGGCGACAGTGGTGGCAATGGCAGTAACGGTGGTGGTGGCAGTGACAGTGGTGGTGGCGGCAGGGGTGGAAGCGATGGTGATGGTGGTGATGGCGGGCGGCGATGGTGGTGGTAGTGGTGGCGGCGGAGGCGGTGGTGATGGTGGTGGCGACGGGGGCGGTGGTGATGGTGGTGGTAGAGGTAATGGTGGAGCGGTTTCAAACACTATTTTGTTTAAAGTATTTATGAGAAATAATTTTTAAAAATATTTTTAAAAAATTATTTCAAATACACTTTTAGGAGCCTATTTTTACTATTAAATTTAGGCTGTTAATATTAGCCGTTAGATTAACTTTAAAATAAAATTTATAACGATCTAAACCGTGAATAGCAAAAGTCATTTTGTTTATCTTTTGAAATTTGAATTGTAAGCTATTTTATTATATAGATATTTTTATGTGGTTACAAATAACATTCAAATTGCTAACAATTTTTAATTATAAACATATCACGTAATATTTAAATATAAACGCTATCTTTTTGAGTAATTATATATAAATATTATTTATTGTCTGTGCCTAAAGGCACTATGTTACTTATAAAATTTTAACACACAACGATATGATATTTGAATAATTTCAATACATAGTGATTAGATTGATTTTGAACATTTTTTGTTGGTGCAATTGCTATTTTATTTTTTTGTATTGGTCACCTATTTTTTTTTATTTGCTGATTAGCTTGTGCTTTGAATTTTTTTTTATTTTCTGAGAACTATAGGTTTTTATATAGTAGTGATTTATTTTTAGTATGAATAATAAATTGATGATTTTATTTATGGATTATAAAGACAATTTAAATTTCATTAATTGATAAGAAGTAAGAAGTAAACATCAACCATTGTTACTAAGATGCATGATAAGAAGATCTACTTACAGTGTATTCTAGGTGTGAATCAGTTTGTAATAAAAATGATGAAAAATTATATAATAAGTATATAATAGTTTTTAATGAAATATTATACCAAAGGTTTTGAAAAAATCGATAAACCAAATAACTTACATGTCAAAAAATGGTGACATTATCTACTTGGGTACTGATTTTTGTGTTGTAGTGATGGTGTGTATGAGGTTATTGGGGTCAATCGTAAATTGGCAAACCTTGAAAAAAGAAGTATTAAACTTAGAGATATTATGTATTTTATGTGTGTTTAATAGAAATATTTTTAATTTTATCCAAAGTTTTATCGTAAAATTAGAAATTAAACAAAACCAACCTAAATTAAGGTACAAACAATACACTTTTAACATATATCATTTAACAAAAATCAGTTAATAACAATATATCCACAACTAAACCACACGAACATTAAAAATTAAAAACAACAAACTATTATCAAAGCATACACTACTAAACTAACACAAAAAAATCATCAATATTCATAAACACGCATAAATGTTAAACATTTTCTAATTGCACAGTTGTAAAAATTAAACATAAAATATTTGATAACTACCCAGTTATAAAAATTAAAAAAAAAATAATCAACATGAAATAATGAGATGCTTTACCATTAACAAAATTTGTAACAGATATTTTTTTAACTAATCATTTATGACAATCAACAATATGTTTTGTTCACTTTCAATAAAAATTAAAATGTTGAGAACTATAAGTTTTCATGTAATTCCGAGCAAAGTGATGATTAAGTATGAATAATAGTTCGAAGGTTTTACTTATGTATTGGATATTTGTATTTTTTGTTTGTGTGAAAGTGGTGATGACAATTATATTGATTTTGAAATTTTTTTGTGCAATTGGTAATACTTATTATTTTTTATTAGTCACTTTTTTTTTATTGGAGATTGGATTGGACTTTGTTTTTTTTTCTTCTTTGAGAACTACAGATTTTCATATAATGGTGATTTATTTTTGGTATGAATAATAACTTTATAATTTTATTTATGGATTGTATATTTATAATTTTTTTTGTGTGAAAGTGGTGATAGCGATTAGATTGGTTTTGAATCTAACTACTTTATATATATATATATGTAGAAAGAGAGAGAGAGAAAGAGAAGAGATGAGATAGTGTGTTGAAAATATCTAAGAGATAAAAGCGAGAGAGTTATATGAGAAATATGAGTGTTAGAGTTAAGTCCAATTATAATCGTCGGATCATAATTTTTGAGATGATCTGAATCGTCTTTTATGTTGAGATTACATTATCCATTGAATGTGTTTATATTTTGTCTCAAAATGATCTGGACCATTCTTTTCTTTTGGATTCAAATTTCGTTCCATTTTATTATATTGACTAATCATTACCCGTGCTTAAAGGCACTATACAACAAACAAAAAAAAAATTAAAACAATTGTCCAAATTCAAAAAGAATGACCTAAAAATATTTATACTAATTATTCTTTTAAAATTATTTGAAATATATCGTCAAACATATTCTCCATATTAATGGAACTATCATAAAAATATATAAAAACTCTCCAAAACAATGTCACATATACAAATGCCTTTTGGAAAAAAAATATTGACATAACCAATTAAAATTTATAATCTTTAAATAATAATTTTTTTTTTTGTTTATTTATAAGACTCACAAATTTATCACATTTACTATCACTCAATCCAATAACACAACATAATTATAAACTCAACTACCATATTTTTAATTCACCCTATTCCCATGTAATAAATATTTCAAGCAAAAAAAAAAAAAAAATACTAACAAAACACAATATAAAATTTACAATCTTTAAGTGATAAATAAAATCAACTAAATTTTACTTATTGATAAAACTCATGAATTTATCACCACTATTACCATTCAACCCAAAACGATACAATATAATTATAAATTTAATTACCAAATATTCAGAAACACACCAACACACATTTCTTTTTTGATTACCAACAAATCTTTCTAACCAATAACTATTTTATTAGAAATACAATAATTCAAATTTTTTAGATAAAATAATAATAAATTAATGTTTAATTAAAAACAGGGTAAAAATCAAGGGGCATCCCCTAAGTTTTGACAATATTACACGGATACTTCATGATATTTTATAAATAACATAGACACCCCTGAGGTTTGAAATTTATTACACGGATACCCTATTTTTTTCCTTCAATCAATGTTGCTAATGAAAATTGATAATTTCATAAAAAAAAAAATTATTACTTACAATTGCCCTTCTCCAAATTTAGTAAAAAAAATTTAAAATTTAAAATTTAATAAAATAAAATTTGATTTAGTAAAAAATTGATGTAATTTAGTAATCCAAAAAATTGATTAAATAAATTTCAATATTAATTTGATAACAATAAAAATTAATTTGATATTAATTCGACAAATTTGAATATAAATTAGACAAAATTAAATTAATTTTTGATAAAATTATATATTAATTTAAAATGTAAGGTTCATTGGGAATTGAATATTATTTAGTGTTTATTTTTTATTTACATTAAGTGTTATTTACATGCTATTAGATATATAAAAACGTTGAATTAGTATAATGAAATAAATAATTGCATAACATATAATTTCATCTGATTTATGGGGTTAAATAATTAAAAAAAAATAAGGCAAAAAAAAGATAATAGCATGAGGGAGAGAGAGTTATATGAGAAATGAGAGTTTTAGAGTTATAAAGAATAAAAGTCTAATTAGGACCATTGAATCAAAATGATCTGAACCGTGAAAAATTCAAGACAAACAATATAACTACTTTATTTTATATATATATATATATATATAGAGAGAGAGAGAGAGAGAGAGAGAAGAGATGAAATAGTGTATTTAAAACGTCTAAGAAATAAGAGAAAAAGAGAGTTATATGAAAGATAAGAGTGTTAGAGTTAAATCCAATTATAATCGTCAGATTAGTATTTATTAGAAGATCTGAATTGTCTTTTATATTGGGATTACGTTGTCAGTTGAATATATTTATATTTTATTTTAAAACGATCTGAACTTCTTTTTGTCTTAGTATTCTAACTCAATTCTACTTTATTATATAAATATTCAATACTTGTGGAAGTAAATAATATAATTGAAATATTAACAACTAAAATCAAACAAATAAGAAGTTATTATGCAATTAACCCTAAAATTTTACTTCTGAGTATCGACTGATCAACCAGTACCCAGCAAAAGAGAGAAGAGGATCCTGATAAAATCTATCCTCTCCTCTAAAACTCTCTTTCAGTAGTAGGCTCACCTTTCGTGGCCTTTCTATCAGAAGATTAGAGCTCATGCGTTGTTTTCTGTTTGGCATCTCATAACCGAAATCTTCTTCAATTCTTGCTTGTTCGGATCCTACCAACACCACTATATCGCCCTATTTAACGTAGTATCCAACTTCTGAGACCTACTCTGTAAGAACATTTGTTCTTGTTCTTCTTTTAAGTCTTGTATTCACAAGGTTTGATTTTTGTCTTCAATTTCAACCTCTGTTAATTTTGTAGGACTAGGTTTATCCATATTCTGGCATGAAATACATACCTATACATATTTGTGTGTCTGTGTGCTTGAGTTTATTTATGTGTAATTGAGCCCCAGTTGCTTACTTTTCAATTGTCTCACATTCCACGACATGGGCTTTAGAGAACCATAAAAAAAAGCCTGGTACTTAATCTCGGCATTCTGTATGGGCATAAAGCCTGGTATTTTATTTTACTATGTTGCTGCACAATGTTAAACAGTAACCATCGTTTATATGTAATGGTAATGCCAGCTTTTGACCTTAAATTCTTCTTGGGGCTTTATTGTCTTCACTGATTTTGCAGAGTTGGCATACTTATGAATGGCTTTGAGAGTGGTGGCACAGAAGGTATGCTGAAATATTCACTTGGACATGTACTCTGATTTCACCTCTATTGTTCTCTAATTTTAGGTTTTTATGGAGCTTAGATGCTCTTAAGCTTATAAAACTTTGATGACATTTTTTTTTCTTAGTGGTACCAGACATTTTGGCTTTTGTCCCATTTTTTGTTACCTAGTTCTATCAAGTGGCACCAACAATTCTGTGAGTGCTCTGCATTTACAGGGTGCTTTGATATGATAAAGCTACCCTAATTATATGTCTGTGTGTGCTGGATATGCATATTAATTGAGGATCCTGGTTGGAGATTTTTATTGCATTCATCTTATGAGAGATGCTCATTCTTCTAACTGTATTTCATTGGACTTTAATTTATGGAATGGAGTGCATGGAAGTATTAATGTTACCAGGACTCTTTTGGGCAGGGAATTCATGCTAGTCATTCAAAAGCTTTGACTTCAATATATAGAGATGCGGTGGCGTCAATAACAAAATCAGGCCTTGAAGCCAGAGTGAAAGCTGTCAGATGCATACCAGGTAAATGAAAATTAATGTGTCTTTCATGCTTGTATGATAATTTATTGTTTCTGTTTTGGTTATTCTTGTGGTGGATTGGTTCTTCAGTTTGTTATATTGTACAACTGTACTGGGATTAACCCTTAATTTAAGTGGAATTAAGTTTCGAACAATTGACATCAACTGTGCCTTAGCCATCTATTTAGCTTGGCAACATGTGCTTTGCTGTAACTTGCACCTATTTAGCTTGTTCTGCAAATTCTTGAGTACTCATTAGTTGAAAGAGAAACTCTTGTGACAAAGTAAATGGAGACATAAATGTCAGCTAATTGCAAAACGAAAGCGTATCCTTACTTTTGTTTCCCAAATTTTATCCTGCAGAATTTCCCATCAATCCAGCTTTACAAGGCGCTGATAATGGCAAGTTTTTGACGAACCTACTCTCTAAAAGGCAAGTTGGCATCTTTTCAGTCTGCGATGTTAACTATGTCTTTTTTGTTGCCAATAACAGAAAGCTTCAGTAAATTTATTAATCATACTCTTCAATTTACACTTCCTGGAAGCTCCAGATCATAATATATTGCTCTAGAATAGCTCATTTTCTTGCCTATAAATCCATTTCGTTGCAGTCTATTTGGAGAAATTTGTCGCCCTTTTAGTTAAGTAGTCGATTTAATCTTCCAAGCTTAGTGATTCAAAGATGATCAGTCTTTGCATAGCCATTTCTGTTGTATTTTCAAAGGCAAAGGTACAGGCAATGCAATACTTCCTTCTGAGGTAAGGGATAATCCTCAAGACAAAGTCGCAGTTTTCATGCATGGGGGATGCTGCCTTGGTACAAATCTTAATAGTCTTCTAGAATTCCCTTATGCTCGTTTCAAAAAGGATTGGTGGAGATTTTTTCTAGAATTTTTGTGTTCTGGCGTTTCATTTGTTGACATGGGAAGAAGCTGAGAAAGTTAGAGCAAGAAGACTTTTTGTGTGTTTCCACCCAAATTTGACTTCATAATTAAGATTTTGTGAGAAAAGTTGGTATACAATTTTCAACACCAATTTGCAAGCAAGACTGTCTCTTTCTTTGTCAAATGATTTTCAGCCATTTTGTTATATGGAGTAACCTATCCACTTCTATTTAAGGAAGGTGGTTTCTTCCTTGTGTATGGGAAAATGTTTACATTAGTGGACTAATAGAAGAAAAATAGGCCTTTTTGTATTTCCTTTTAAGTAGGCTGGCACTTCACATGAATGCCCCTATAAAGTCCTCATAAAAGTTATTACAAGTAACCTTGTGACAAACATTAAAGCCCATCGATGAGACTATAATACTGTTAAAAAAAATTCAATAATATAACGAAATTGATTGTATCCAAACTTTTGATCTAGGCCCCCGAAAATTTTGGGTTTCGGTCAAGTATAGTTGTTAGTATAGTATGATACACAATATGCATTACGTATCTCACTATACGTTTCAATATAATGATAAAACGATATGTATCAGAGAGTTGTATGATTTTTTCATTGTATCGTAAGTTACACGATACGTCTATTGTGATATGTACCTTGCGATGTGTTTTGATACCATGAAAAAATGGTACGCACAAGATAATTTTTTTATTTTCTACTCAAAGGATAAACAGATGATTCTTTCTCCTGGGATCCTCTTCATCTTCTTGTATTTCTTATTTCAAACAAAAGCAACACTAATTATATTTTGATCTCTGAATCATAAAAAGACGAAGGGTTATCTCTCTTTTGATCTCCGTAAACACGCATCCCACAAAATGATAAGTGAGTTGAAATAATATTTATATTTGGCAGTATATATAAATAGGCATATATCTCTTAATTTTTTATTTTTTTTGAAAATTTTAGCATATCATACGATATACAATACATTATTTTTGAAAAAGATACGTAGTGCGATAAATGTTTTGATAACATGCAGGATTTTACGTTTAGACTTGGTTACAGACAAATAGCTATTTCATTAGTAACATTTTGTTTATATCCTTGAGTTCTTGTACATATTTAAATTAAGTATTGTGTAAGTTGGTTTATATATTAAATTGGTTGATAGGCTACTGTTTTGGAAAACAGGATCTTTTATTAAGGTAAACCCGTAAATGTATTGCCTTGGAAAATTTTAGACTCGGTGATTTCCTTGACCTCTCATACATGAGTTTAATTCAAGTCCTACACAGGTCTTTGTTTTGATTGAGTGACACGTTAATTCAAGTCTTAACTAGGTCTTTATCTTAGTTGAGTATGGATTCCCTTGATTTCTCATACATGAGTTTAATTCAGTCCTAAGTAGGACTTTGTGTTGAGTTTGTTGACAGTGTGGTAAGTTACTTCAGGCCTCAATTAGGTCTTTGTCTTGGTTAAGCTGGTTGCTGAAGCTTCTCTCTTGATCAGCTTGGCCCTTCTATTAAGGTGAAAATATAATCTTCGAAGAATTTAAATTGAGTTTTCAGTCGTCAAGGATCTTTGCTATGGCCATATTGATATAATAGAAATATGCATATATTAGTATTCAGATATCTATATTGGACTGAAGGGTGTAGCAAAGATGAGAGCCTACTCTTGTGTAGTGACCTATGATGAACTCCGGTGGACATTCTTTTATTTTTCCTCGCAAACTAATAGCTTTATCATAATAATTATTTTTTTAAGTTATTGTCATGGTTATGCACTTTGTTAAGTTTAATGAATTAGTATAACACAATATTAGAGAGAAAGAGAGAGGTCAAAATTAAACCTAGCTCTCATACATCACTTATATTTATAATTAACTTACAATAATAAGAATTACACATACACTCTCTTACTATTAACAATTTACACATACTACTCTACTATTCTTAACACTCTCCCTCAAGCTGGACTATATATATCATATAATCCAAGCTTGGAACAAATAGCTGTAAGATGTGTACGACTCAATGCTTTGGTAAACATATCCGCAAGCTGATCTTCAAATTTCACAAATGGAGTTGTAATCTCCCCAGCTACTATCTTGTCCCGAATAAAGTGACAATCAACCTCAATATGCTTGGTTCTCTCGTGAAATACAGGTTTGACAGCGATATGGATAGCTGCCCGGTTGTCACAGAATAACTGTAAAGAAAGTTGAACTGGAAACCCAATTTCCTGGAGGAAGTGTAGTAGCCAAGTCAACTCACTCGTCGTATGCGTCATTACCCTATACTCAGCCTCAACACTGGATCTTGCTACCACGAATTATTTCTTGCTTTTCCATGAGACAACGTTACCTCCTAAGAAAGTACAATAACAAGTGCTTGATCTCCGATCAGAAGGAGAGCCAGCCTAATCAGCATCTAAGAACCTTTCACTCTAAGATGTCCATTAGCTCGATATAAACAGTTTAAGTCCAGGAGCACGTTTGAGATATCGCAGAATACAAGTAACTGCATCCCAATGTGGTACTATAGGACACCCCGTGAACTGACTTATTATACTGACTGCATAGGAAATATCCGGTCGAGTAATAGTGAGATAATTGAGCTTCCCAACCAATCTGTGATACCGACCTGAATTCTCAAATAGTGCACCATCATCCATCAAAAGTTTCTGATTCGGATCCATAGGAACATCAAATAGGTCTGCCACCGAGCAAACCTACTTCCTCAAGCATGTCAAGTACATATTTTCTCTGGGATAAACAAATACCCTGTTTAGATCGATCCACTTCAATACCCAAGAAATACCTGAGTTTTTCCAAATCTTTAGTATGAAATCGATCTTGTAAGAATGTTTTTAACTTGGCAATCCCCTCAGAATCATTCCCAGTAATCACAATATCATCTACATATACCACCAATAGGACATATCTAGCATCTGTCTGTCTGTGAAACACAGAATGGTCTGTCTGACATCGAAGAAGACCAAACTCTTAAACTGCATCTGAAAACTTACTAAACTATGCCCTCGGTGACTGTTTCAAATCATACAAAGATTTCTTTAACCGACATACACTCTTACCATACTCCCCCTGAGTAGTAAACTCAGGTGACTACTCCATATATACCTCTTCAACCAAGTCACCATGTAAGAAGGCATTCTTGACGTCTAACTAAAATAAGGGCTAATCAAGATTAGCAGCCAAAGAAATCAAGATACGAACAGAAAAATTTTGGCAACTGGAGAAAAAGTTTCCTTATAATCAACACCATAAGTCTGAGTAAAGCCCTTTGCAACTAGTCGGGCTTTGAGATGCTCCACAAAATCATTTGGGTGAAATTTAACAGTATACACCAACGACAGCCAATAGTTCGTTTATCAGGAGGTAAAGGAACGAGATCCCAAGTCCCATTATGATGTAAGACATTCATCTCCTCTTCAGCTTTCCTCCAACTCGGATCAGATAATGTATCCTGTACATGTTTAGGAATAGATATAGCAGATAATTGGGAAGTAAAACAAGAGAAGACAGCAGACAAGGCATCATATAACACAAAATGAGAAATGAGATGATTAGTAACACACGAACGAGTACCTTTGTGAAGAGTAATAGGTAAAGAGTCTAAATTACTTGATGTACCAAGATCAGAAGGCGGCAAGGAAGACGGTATGGGCACCTCAGTCGATGGGCGAGGATGGCGAGAGTAGACACAGAGAGGTAAAGTAGATGGTAATACAGTGGGCAGCGGGATATCTGAAGATGAGAAAAGAGATAGTGGTACAAGAGATGACCCAAAGTCTAGATTCAAAGGCTGAGAAGGTGCTGAAAAATATGGAATAGATTCTTCAAACGTGATATCGGCATTAGTAAAATATCGGTGTAGAGAAGGACTGTAGCAACAATACCCCTTCTGTGTGCGGGAGTAACCAAGAAATACACATTTGGTAGCTCGAGGGTCAAGTTTGTCAAATCCAGGATCCAAATTATGAACATAACAAACACATCTAAAAACCTTAGGAGTCGGGGAAAATAAGGGCTTACCAAGAAAAAGAACAGAATATGGACTTTGCTCATTTAACACAGAGAATGACATACGATTAATAAGGTGACAAGCAGTAAGAACATCACTCCAAAAATATCGAAGAATATTCATCTGGAATAATAGGGCACGGGTGACTTTCAACAAATAACGGTTCTTGCGTTCAGCAACACTGTTCTATGGGGATGTGTAAGCACAGGAAGTCTTATGAATAATGCCAGCTTTATTAAGATAAGCTGAAAAAGGATCAGATTTATATTCCCGAGCATTATCAGAACATAAAATACGGATGCGACAACCATACTGAATTTTTATTTCCTTACAAAAGGTCTCAAATATAGAGAATAATTCAGACTGAGCTTTCATAAGAAACAACCAAGTCACACGAGAATAATCATCCACAAATGACACAATAAAAATATTTATTAGATAAAATATTCTTTATTGGACCCTATACATCAGAATGTACCAACTCAAATGGACTAGACACACGATTATTGACTCGAGACTGAAATGATACATGGTGATGCTTACTAAGTTGACACGCTTCACAAGACAAGGACGGCACAGAACTAAGACTGAGAACTTGGCGTTTCAGATTCTGGAGAGAGGGATGTCCAAGACAACAATGTCATTGAAAAGGAGACAACGAGGTCTGTAGAGCCCGAGTAGGTGAATCAAAATCAAAGTAATATAGGCCACCAACTTCATGCCCTGTACCAATCTTCCTCTTCGTCTTAAGATCCTGAATGACACAATAAGAAGGATAAAATGTTACAGAACAATTGAGAGAGCGAGTAATCTTGCTAATAGAAAATAAATTAAAAGAAAACTGAGGAACAAATAATACAGAAGATAGGGACATATCAGGACTCAAGTTAGTAGTCCCCAAACCTGAAACTTTAGAACAAGTGTCATTAGCAAGAGTAACACTTCGTGTGGAAGGAGCAGACTGATAAGTAAAAAAAATATTAGACGCACCAGTCATGTGATCAGAAACATCAGAGTCTATGATCTAGGGATTGCGATTGGAGGACAATAAACAAGTGAAAACAATACCTGACTGGGCAAAAGTAGCAGTGAAGGAAGATGGAACAGCCTGTTGTTGAGATAGGAACTGGGCATACTCCTCTCGAGTAATAGTAACCAATCCAGTGTCTTGCTTGGATTCCATAACAGTGCAGCAAATAGCAAACAAGAAGTGCTGCAATGCCGAACCAGAAGAAAAGAGGATGCTGGACCGCTGAACCAGGCCTATTAAGGCTGCTAGAATACGAACTAGTCTGGAAAACCGGCCTGAACCACTGAACCGGGCCTGTTAAGGCTGCTGGAGCCCTGAACTGGACTGGAAAACCGGTCAGGACCACTGAACCGGCCTTGTTAAGGCCATTGGAAGCCTGAACCGGACTAGTTTAGCCCTTTGGACCTCTGAACCAGAGTAAAAACAGAAGGATCCTGCCTGAATCGGTCTAAAAATGACTGATCCGGGCTTTATCCAGCTTAAAACAGACTGAACCGGGTCACAAGAGACCATTGGACTGCTGAACAGGAGACAAAACAGAACGAACCGGTCTGAATCTAGATGAACCGAGATCAAACCGGAGCTGGACCGAGATTGATCCGGTCTGGACTTGAACTGTGGGCTAGAGGGTTTGGACTGAATCGGGTCTGGACCCTTTCTTCTTCGTCGATTAGGGTTACAGTAACCCTAGTCTTCCTGGACCACCGCCACGACCGACAAACCACCACAAACCAAATCCACACCACCACGACCACAGCCAATCTTCAAGACCACTACCACGACCAACAGACCACCACAAACTATGACCGACAAACCACCACAAACTAAATCCACACCACCACGACCACATCCAATCATTGAGACCACCACCACGACAAGCAGACCACCACAAACCACAGCCACACCACCACGACCCCAGATCCATAGCAAACAACACTCCTCGACCACCACAACGAACACATCAGACCACCACAGTCACACCATGACAGCCGCCAAACAACACAGTAGCACCACCACGATGAACAGTACAACACACCACCACAACAGTAGCACTACTAGGAACAAAAATTTATTCAAAATATATATTTATGATCGTATATGCTATGATACCATGTTAAGTTTAATGAATTAACATAACACAATATTAGAGAGAAAGAGAGAGGTCAAAACTAAACTTAGTTCTCATACATCACTTATATTTATAGTTAACCTACAATAATAAGAATTACACATACACCCTCTTATTATTAACAATTTACACATACTACCATACTATTCTTAACACACTTGATAAAGTGCAAGCTGTTAACATGGTCTTTGATCAGAATCTGGATTCAGCATATGCTCTATGATTGTCTGATTCACTACTGTTTTGTAAGATTATGCTTTTCAATCTTGTTTAGATGCTTTCATGCAAGTCCAGAGCTACTGGCTCGAAGAAAAAATGAGGAGCCGCTGGGTTTAAAGAGAAAACCCAAGAGCGGGAAGTTTGTGAAAAGACCCCAGAACACCCAACCGCCCGTTGAAGCTCCATATGTACCTCCTAAATTGAGAAGAACTATCAAATCATTGCCAGACAAAACTGTTGACATATTCGATGGCATGACTATTGTAGAGCTTGCCAAGCATAGCGGAGTGATTATATCTACTGTACAGGATATTCTTGTAAATGCTGGGGAAAAGGTTGACTCGGAGTATGACACTCTCGGCATTGACATTGCGGAGCTGGTTGCAATGGTATTTCTCCTTCTTAGGTGCAGAAATCATGCAAGTATTTCTCCTATCGTTAAAAGGGCCAACATTTGAGTATCCATTATGTATGATTGAATTATTATGTTATAGCCAATAGATGGCTTGAAGTTTGTTTGCTATTGTGAATTCAGATTGAATCCAATCTCAGAGGGATTGAGCCTTGCAATTTTTGAAGGTTAATCTCAATCTGAAAGGATTAATTTTTTTCCTCATCGCCCCTTTCTGTTTTCACATTTTTCCTTGTTTTTTTAAGTATGTTTTTTGGAGCCCTGAATATTGTAGGGGCTTATTTTAGGATATATTTTTTTTCAACCTTTGCAGGAAGTTGGGGTCAATGTTAGGAGGCTGCAGTCCAATGAAGGTGCTGAAGTTCTATCACGCCCTCCAGTTGTGACAGTGATGGGTCATGTTGACCATGGTAAAACTTCTCTCTTAGATGCACTACGGCAGACATCTGTAGCAGCTAAGGAAGCTGGAGGCATAACCCAGCATCTAGGTGCATTTGTTGTTGGCATGCCGTCGGGAGCATCAATCACATTTCTCGACACTCCAGGTCATGCTGCATTTAGTGCGATGCGAGCAAGAGGTGCAGCAGTCACAGATATAGTCGTGCTAGTGGTGGCTGCTGATGATGGTGTAATGCCTCAAACCCTTGAAGCAATGTCCCATGCAAAAGCAGCTGGTGTACCAATTGTTGTTGCAATTAATAAATGTGATAAACCAGCTGCCAACCCGGAAAGAATACGAGTCCAGCTAGCTTCAGAAGGGTTGCTTTTGGAAGATATGGGTGGAGATGTCCAGGTTGTTGAAGTTTCTGCAGTGACTAAACTTGGATTGGATAAGTTGGAGGAGGCCTTGCTTCTCCAGGCTGAGATGATGGATCTCAAAGCACGTATTGATGGATCTGCTCAAGCTTATGTGGTAGAGGCAAGACTTGACAGGGGGAAGGGTCCATTAGCTACTGCAATAGTGAAAGCAGGGACATTAGTTTGTGGGCAGCATGTTGTTGTTGGTGCAGAGTGGGGAAGAATAAGGGCTATAAGGGACATGGTGGGACAATTAGCCGATCGTGCTGGACCTGCAATGCCTGTTGAGATTGAAGGGCTGAAGGGACTTCCAATGGCAGGTGATGATATTATTGTTGTTGCCTCTGAGGAGAGAGCAAGGATGCTTAGTGCTGGGAGGAAAAGGAAACTTGAGAAAGATAGGCTCAGGAAAATGGATGAGGAGAATAGGCTCAGGAAGACAGATGAGAAGGGAACTTCAGATGAAGAAGATGAAGAAAAGGAGACTGAAAGGGTTGAAATGACCGTTATAGTAAAAGCAGATGTGCAGGGCACTGTCCAAGCAGTCACGGATGCATTGAAAAGTTTGGATAGTCCTCAGGTACTGGAATGCTTTCTTTTCAGTTTTCAATAATGTGTGAGCAAGCCATGATTGATGATGGTTATTTTTTTTTGGAATATAAAAAGCAGTAGCCATCTTTCTCATAATAACATGCCTGAATCTGATTCTTTTAAATGTTCCCTATTTTCAATATTATTGGACTCCAGCTTATGATGTTCCTTTTGATCTGTTACCAGGTTTTTGTGAATGTGGTCCATGTTGGGCTTGGGCCTATTTCTCAATCTGACTTGGATTTGGCACAAGCTTGTGGTGCATGTATAGTTGGATTCAATGTGCGAAGCCCACCTAGTTCCATTAGTATGGCTGCAACTCAAGCTAGTGTGAAGGTAATTAAATTGCTTTTGTTGCTTACAATATCAATTTGCTAACTACTATGATTGAAAATCTTTGTAGCTTGCTTATTTTGGTATGGGCTATTGAAATTATCTTTTGCAATACCTTGTATAAAATAAAAAGGAACCTGTATTAGTTGTATTACTCGTGTTTACCCTTTTATATGGTTGGTGGTTGGTTGTAGATAAAACTGCACCGTGTGATCTATCATCTTTTGGAAGATATGGGTAATATGATTGTAGAAAAGGCCCCCGGGACATTTGAGACCCAGGTGGCTGGAGAGGCCCAGGTTCTAAACATCTTTGAGATCAAAGGAAGAAGCAAAGCAAAGGGTAATGATGTGAAGATTGCTGGTTGCCGGGTGATGGATGGACGCGTCACCAAGTCATCAACAATGAGGCTTTTGAGGAGTGGGGAAGTGGTGTTTGAAGGATCATGCATGTCTCTCAAGAGGGAGCAACAGGATGTGGAGACAGTTGAGAGGGGAATCGAGTGTGGACTTGTGATCCGTGATTGTTTTGATTTCCGGATTGGAGATATTATCCAGTGCTTAGAGCGAGTCAACAGAAAACCTAAATTTGTTTCATCAGAGAGTGGGGCTGTCAGAATTGAGTGCTGATATTTCTTTCAAGAAAAAAACATAGAATTTTAATACTTGTGACACCAGATTCGTTGGCCCCGACATTTTTGTTGAGCAGATAACATTTCTTGTATTTTATGAAGCATTTTTGAGTGGTGCAGTGCAAATTTAAGTTTTTATAATGTTGAGCAAAGCTCTCATGAGTTGCCAATGTAGACTTTGGAACACCAAAAAATTCTATTTGTTAGTTACAGTTTTTGGAGAGAGATTTGCGAGGTTGTTATTAATAGTTTTGTACAATTGAGGGAATTACTTATTGAAAGATAACATTTGAGTTTAAACACAAATTATGCAATCATCTTCTGTGTTTAGTATTGTTGGATGACTTTGCCTGTGATTGTGCTTTGTTATGCATTGATGTAAACATCTATCATTTTTCTTTTTTGGGGCTAATTTGGGTGCATCAATTCATATGAATCATTCAATTATATACACATTTGCATTTGAAGGCTTTGGTTGGCCATGGCCAGCCTTTTTGATTTGGAGCAGTGTGAACCTGGAAGTGCCTTTTATAGGACTGCAGGTAAAGCCTATGCTGGATCATCATTTTAAGGGATTTTGCACACCATTGCTTTTGAACTTGTTATTTCAGTGAAAGCAGTTACTCCAGTGCATTTGAAGGGGCAGACTTCTCTGCCCAGAAGAGACTAGCAGGGGGAGTGCAAACTCCAAGTTCTGATCACTCAGGCCCGACGCGAATTTAGGCCTTTTAAAACCTTGGTCTTCACAGGAAAATTTGAAATTTAACAGTAGTTGGTGAAACTCTCTTGGTAAACAGTATAATGTATTTGCTGATTCCTACAAACTTGGAGTTCTATCTTTCTAGTGAGCTAATCCCCAACTTGTGAAGTGTATACACAATGGGGATGACTTCCATCCTAAATGGAATCGTGACTTTCTTTATATTCTTTTGAAAGACTAATGTACTATTTGGTAACAGTTCAAAGCCTCGTTGAGAAAATCATTCCCTTCCTCTTGAAAATAAAAGAATTGCTTCCTGCTTTCTTGGCTTGAAAGCTCGATTCAAGTTTCCGAAAGAGTTCTATCTTTCTCCCCTGCCTCACATTGCAATCAATCACACACAAGTTCTAAGATAATAAGCTCATAAGTTTGGTTTTACGTCACCGTCGAGAAACGAAAAAAAATTTCCACCTCTAAGTTTCACTCTGACGTAGCTCTTCTTTTTGGGTGTGAAGAAGTGTTAAACCAAAAAATTCAATAAGCATTAGCCCTTCTTAAAAAGGAGGTGATTCAATCGTACCTTTCAGTGTATCTTTCAATGTATACAACTTTATTTAAGTCACTAGTCCTACCTTTAACATCCTCTCCTTGCAATTAGGGTAATGACATTGGATATGATCAGCTCACATGGTGTGACGGGCGGTGTGTACAACGCCCGAAACTTACCAAAATTATCACTTACTTTTCCTGCATACTATATTTTTTGGTCATTATTTCCTGCATGCTATGAAACAACCAAGCACGGCATTATGTTTCAGCCCAAAACACAAAAGACATACAAAGGCCCAAACCTCCATAGGAGCCCAACCCTGTGCTCAAAACGACGTCGTGGTTCTGGCTTAGAAATCATCGGCGGCGGGTATGAGCTACGACGACCACTCGGTTGCTTGATCGGTCTCTACCCTTTCTTTTTTTATTTTTATTTTTTATAAAAGGTCGCTACCCTTTCACTCCCTCGACGAGTCCGTCACTCTCACCCTCTACCACGAGCTTCACGATCTACCACTATATTATAAATCCTATATAGTCGACTCCTTCACTCTATCTACCATTTCCAAACCTCTCACTCTCTCTCTATACCTACCCACCATCACCATGGAAGCAGCCTCTCCAGCTCTCTCCCGGATAGGCTTAGCAGGTCTTGCCGTGATGGGTCAAAACCTTGCCCTGAATATCGCCGAAAAGGGCTTCCCAATCTCCGTCTACAATCGTACGATTTCCAAAGTGGATGAAACTCTTGATCGAGCTCAAAGGGAAGGCCAGCTACCATTAATAGGCCAGCACACACCTCGTGATTTTGTCCTCTCAATTCAAAAACCCAGGTCCGTTGTCATCCTCGTCAAGGCTGGTGCACCGGTTGATCAGACCATCGCTGCCCTTGCCGCGCATATGGAACCCGGCGACACGATCATCGACGGAGGCAACGAGTGGTACGAGAACACCGAGCGCCGCATCCAAGAGGCCCAAGCCAAAGGCCTTCTCTATCTGGGTATGGGCGTTTCGGGTGGCGAAGATGGTGCTCGTCACGGCCCGTCTTTGATGCCAGGTGGGTCCTACGAGGCATATCTGAACATCAAAGACATTGTAGAGAGAGTTGCTGCTCAAGTAGAGGATGGGCCTTGTGTGACCTATATTGGAGAAGGTGGGTCTGGCAATTTTGTTAAGATGGTACACAATGGGATTGAATATGGTGATATGCAGCTCATTTCGGAAGCCTATGATGTGTTGAAGAATGTTGGAGGGCTTTCCAATGGTGAATTGGCCGAGATTTTTAGTGAGTGGAATAAGGGGGAGTTGGAGAGTTTCTTGGTCGAAATAACGGCGGATATTTTTAGAGTGACTGATGAACATGGTGATGATGAATTGGTGGATAAGATTTTAGATAAGACTGGGATGAAGGGTACTGGAAAGTGGACTGTTCAGCAGGCGGCGGAGTTATCCGTGGCCGTGCCCACCATTGCCGCCTCCTTGGATATCAGGTTTATGAGTGGGTTGAAGGAAGAGAGAAAGGCAGCCTCCAAGGTTTTTCAGGAGGCAGGGTTGGTTGAGGAGGTTAAAAATCTGGAGGGTGAGGGTGTTGACAAGAAGATGTTGATTGATGATGTGAGGCAGGCGTTGTATGCATCAAAGATTTGTAGTTATGCTCAGGGTATGAATTTGTTGAGGGCCAAGAGTGTGGAAAAAGGGTGGAATTTGAATTTGGGGGAAATGGCGAGGATTTGGAAAGGCGGGTGTATCATAAGGGCGGTGTTTTTGGACAGGATTAAGAGAGCGTATCAAAGGAATCCAAACTTAGCGAATTTGGTGGTGGATCCTGAGTTTGCCAGGGAGATGGTGCAGAGGCAGGCAGCTTGGAGGAGAGTTGTGAGGTTGGCTATGCTCAAAGGGATTAGCACTCCGGGGATGAGTGCTAGTCTTCAATATTTTGATACATATAGGCGTGCCAGGCTTCCCGCGAATCTTGTTCAAGCTCAGAGGGACTATTTCGGGGCACATACCTATGAGAGGATTGATCGACAAGGAGCATTTCATACTGAGTGGTCAAAGCTTGCTCAAAAGTAGCAAGATTTCAATTGAGATTTAGTGTCATTGGATCATTTCATTGTTCTCATTTGGTTGGTGTTTTAGAGGTTTCTATTTGAATTTTGTTTTATTTTCTGTTGAGAATTAACTGCTTAGGCATTGCAATTGTTCTTTGGCCTTTGCATTGTACGTTTGTGGTGAATAAGACACGCATGCCTTTTGAGTATCACTGAGGGTTAATATCTTCAAATCATTGCTTTTATGGCAGTTAAGAAGAGAAAATCTCCATGATCTTTTTCCACTGTTATTTGACTTGGTTAAATGTTACTTATCCTCTTTCTCCTGGTAATATGCTCATTTAGGAATTAGGATTACAATTGTATTCAGACCTACTGATGGAAGTGTTCACATTTCACACTAAAATGACTGTGAAATCATAAACTCTATGGATGACCAGAACAGCAATTCTTGCATATGAGAAGAGTATACGTATCAGTTTTGGACACATTTCTGGGATTTGTATTTCTGTTTCTAGATGGGAGGAAAATGGTGGGTGTAGTAGTTAGTAGAAAACACTCAAACTCATCATATATGCTAATAAGATTGAGTTGCGTTGGTAAATTCGAAGGAGACTTTGTAGATACTTTTGTCTTTGATTTATGCTGAATCATTCTGGCAAGGTTTTTTGGGGGGAAAAAAATATTGAAGAGCTCAATGTGATGAGATCATCTTTTGAGCCTTGGTGCTTCTTGGTATACTTTGGATGTACTAAGGATTTGCCCCTGTTTAGGCAGCTTTAATGAAATTCATCTACTTTACGAAAAAGGTATTTGTGATCATCAGTGATGGAATCTAATTGGAGTAGAATAAGCTATGACGTGGTAGTTGGGTAGAATCTCCAGTCACAAACTCATATAATGTTTTTTCCAGGTTGTTATATTCTTGTTCATTTGTGCTATGGTCCTGGCTTGGCTCCTTGTTATGCATATACTAGTTTTATATAACTTAGGTTTATTTGTTATCTGTTTGTTCCTTTGTGGTTAACTGTTGATTTCCGTAGTATAATGTTGGTTCGGTCATGTTGAATGGATTTCAATATGCATATTTGGTACGAGTGTGTGCCAGGATGGAAAATGCTACTGGTTTTGGTATTCAGATTTTATTTTCTTCCTTTTTGTTGGAAGTAAGATGAACATCTTTGTAATTTAATATTGTTGTGCTATTTTCCAGAGTCACTTGGCATATATTTCTTATCTCTCCTCTCTTTGTCGCTCCATCTACACGTCTTTCATGGAACTCTGAGACTTCATCATAAGTTTTTGAATGAACTGTGGATGGTGCTCACAGTAGAGCCTGAGGAAATGGATTTCTGGATGATATTTTAGTTGCTTCTGCTGAAATATGTGAAAGGTTTTAAGGACTCATTGTTTCCTTCTCTTGCCACTTCTTTCCGAATGAAAGGATGAAACTTTTCTTTTTGTTTCTTTTCTTTTTAGCTATATTTGCCTTTTCTAGCCAAGAAGGCACAATAATAAGGGCTATGTTTATTTTTCCTTCAAAATCATTCTTACAGGCGTGGAATGGATTTGATCTATTCATGACATTTAAGTTTGATAGTGTGCCGTATGGGTCCGGCTTCTCTATTGTTAATTTTTAATAGCAAAAGTACTGTTGATTAAAGCAATCATTCTACTTAACAAAAAGATGACGTTTTGATACAAATGACAATGCTTTAATCAACAGCACCTTTGTTGTTAATTTTCTAACAACAAAGGATCTCACCTGTGCAATAGGGTCCATCTTCTCTAAAAATCTTGAACTTGTAAATTGTGCTCTACAGAGTACCAACATTCCAAGTTTAATGCATTCTCTGAATGTTTATCTGTATGCACATACTTCCCATTAGGATACTCTCAGTTAGCTTTCCTTCACTTTTTATCACAAGAAACTACCATACAATTATACAAAAACCTGTAGAGATACCTCAAGAAGATGCAACACGAGAAAAGAGAAGCCAAAACAACTATGGAAGGTCTGGATGCTCAAGGATTGGATGAGTTCTTGTTGATGTTGCAGAAGGCATTTTACTGTAACCAATCCATATTGTCTCAAGAACCACGCCTTCATCAGCTTGTCTTTCCATTTCGTGAACTCTCTTTGCTGTCAAAATTCTAACGAAAACCATTCCCACAGCACCCACTACGATCAGCGCAAAAAATCCAAGAACAAACCCCATCACCCACATATCCCATATCCTCTGTTTCCTCCTGATCGGAGCAACTATTGAGAAATGGCCCTGACTTGTACTGTAACATACACCGGGCAAGCGTGTGTCGCGAAGAGAAACTTCCCGATTGGCTTGAAATGTTGCACATTTTGTCCTTGAGGTAGTGCCTCTAGACAATGCTGTATTGAGGAATCGGATTGATATAGGCTTGCCTCTCGTGTTGAGATCGAGCTTCATCATGTTTTTGCTGCTCAAATTTGATGCATCATAAACCATGAATCCAACCACAGAAGACACTAATGAGTAACCAGACACATTGTAATAGTAAGAAGACCAGTTCCCCAGATCCTGATAGACTACAAGAAGCCTCCTAACATAGGGCGTTGGCAACGTCTTTGATGGGATATGAAAATTGCCGAAATTGGCACCTCTTCTCCATAAGGTCCTGCTTCTGAGACGAACAAGGGAAACCTCCATGCCTGCAAGACTAGAAGGGAGCGTAGCATTATATAGTGAACCAGTGTGAGGTCGCCGTTGAACTAAAGTTTTGTAGGCATGGTCTTGGAAAAGAGCATCTAAGTATTCACCACCATTGTTATCAGAGCTGCTGTGGACTAAAGAACAGGAAAATGAGGAGAGAAGAAACCAGATAACATACCAGCTCTTGTTGGATCCAGTCAAGTTTAATCTCAAGAACCATCGGTCATTACTTGAAATATCGTGGTTACTGTAACCCACAACATGATCGCAATTTGATCTCCTATCTTCCATTGCAGACTGTAGAAAAATGAGTGTTTCTTACAACTATTACCAAATTGCCAAAGGTTGAAGAAGAGATGGAGCTTTCACTCAGATGGAACTATGAAGACAAGTGAAGTTTTTGAGTTGATTCTCCTGTACATCCATAGCCATAGGCATGCTTTGAATGGGTCCCATTAAAGGAAGAAAAGTAAGACAAACGTACTCATAAGTTTCCAGTAACGGGTGGTGCAATCATATGGTTGTTGGTGATGAAGAAATGGCGAAGTTGCTCCATAGAATGCGGGGGTTAATAGCTGTTTTTGACTCTCTCTCTCTTTCTCTTGGAGACAATCTACCATTGAATGGTGGGAGCCATCCCAAGAGAAAATAATTGAGAGATGTTGAGTAATGATTCTTCACAATCCATGCCTTATTACCCAAGTCCATGACTGGATGTTAGGTCTATATTATTCCTATTTCACCTAACATGCAATTAGCAATTCGGGTGTGTTTCTGTGTGCGCATGCGCGCCACTGTTCGTAAGATTTTGTAAGCCGTAATCAAAAGTCAGCTAGTTCACAAACCGAGAGAGAGAGAGAGAGAGCCGCCCATAATACTTATGGAACATGCGACAACAAAGATAACTGCATATACATATATAACATCAATTATAAAGTAGTTGTTTCCCAAATAACTCATCTAACGTTGCTTCAACTAATCCCCCATACAACCCTTTTCAATCCCAGAGGGACTTGGTGGAGTCCATGGAACAATGAGCATTCAACCCTCAAAACCGAAATGCATCTAACCCTGCCCGCCCGGTATCTAAAACAGCCATAGGAGCTGTTAGCAAAGAAAAACGAAAAATTAATATTGCAGCGATTCATTGTCTGATGGTGAGCTCAGCCCTGAGATGAAGGATCCCGTTGATGAAATAAAGGCTGTCATCGGCCATGAATGCAGTCCAAGGTATACCAAACAGATTCCGATACCCAACAGCCTTCCCTCCTGTGAATGTGTAGTTCCCTTTATACTTGCTTACATACTCCTCGGTCGGCTTTGACCTTGCTGCAAACTCGTAATCGACAGCAAAAGACACCGAACCCTTCTCTTGCATACCCAAAAACAGCCCAAAGCAATGGAAAGAGCTTTGTTGGTCCATGTTGCAGTGAGCGGAGAGGAAAAATCCTTGCCCACCCAGATGAAAAGCCTGTGAGTAAACTCGGCCAGCGGGAAACAAATTTGCACACTCTTCGCGCTTCAGATCCAGATATACAACACATTGTTGACGAGGTAGTTCAAACTCCACCACCTTAACGGGGCGATACTTGTATGCCCTCTCCACAAAGCGACGTACCGAGGTATTGACTTCCTCTGCAGCAAGAGAGCGCTGCCGGTATGGTGCCTCAGCCTTGAAAAATAAAGACTCCAGCACGACCTTGGATGCAAGTTCAGCATCAAAGTCATTGCACGTTAACACTTTCTTCAGCTTTCGGCAAGTCATGTATGGAAAACGAATAAGGCGACCAAGTCGTGTCCCTAGAATTTCTCGACGTTCCTCCAGTTTTGGGTAATGGATTCGGGCCCACTTCAGCACAAAATCATAAACAGCATCCTCTGAAGCTACCTGAAGTTCATCACTGGATAATACTGCCTCAATTCCAGCTAAAGGCAAGGCCATCACCTCTTCTTGGGACCTGGTAAAATATGCAAAAACCACCTTACAATTTAAATCACCATAGTAGGTATTAGGTCCATCTTATGATGGGATCAAATCCAAGGTCTGGGCATCAGCCACACAAGGAACAAGTTCATTTGAACTAGCAAGCAACTAGAACATGAAGAGCCGAGAACTTGTCTGCTAAAAATGATTTACAAAGTTGGAAATGGTCAAGAAAATTCAAGTCTGTAAAACAGTGCCAACACAAATACCCACCCCCATCCCAACCCCCACCCCAAAACAGAAAAAAGTAACAACCGTTTCATCAAGCAAAAATTGTAGGCATATAACACACAACCTAGCTTTAGGTCGTAAATGCTATATAGAAATTTCAAGCGATAAATACCAAAGGGCCAATTATACACAACCTCAATTGTTTGCTTCATCTGAAAACCAAATAAAACCTTCAAAGTTTCAATCAAACCATCATAAAAATATAATCTTTCACAGCTATGTTATCATAGAAGCTTACTTGGTTATATCCTTGTATCGTCCAGCAAAGTGCCGCTTTGCGACTTCTGTTAGCGGCTGAACTGCTTCGGCCATCATAACAGTATAAGGAAGATCCAAATACAGCAAGGCCGACTCATTAGTCATAGGTAAATTTCTTAACAACCGGCTGCAGTATCTCATGCATGAAGCAACCTCAAATTTGTCAGCAGCCATCAGCACATCCAGCAAAGCAGAAGGTGTGGTTGTCGATAAAGAATTGCTATACATAAAATTCAGGAGTTCCATCAGGGCTGCTTCTTCTGCTCGAAAGTTATTTGGAGAAAACAAGGGAGTAAGTTAATGTTGACCGATCAAGTTTAACTTTTAGCAGTCAAAGTTGAAAGTAAAACAGTTAAACCCAGGACAGGACGGTAACCTGGAAATGAGATTGACAACTATGCAAGTTACCACATGAATATAATAAGTTTATATTATTTCAATGCAAGTTACAAAGATATTCGTATCAATTGAACCAACTACTTGCTTAAGACAATTGAACAAGAAACACAAATAGAAAACATTCCTATTATTACCAGAAGCATGAATTCGTAGAGTTACGTGCCGCTGCTCTGACTCTCTCATACCATTTGAAAACAACTACAGAAAAAAAAAAACAATATCAAAAAACAAGTAGGCAACAAAGGTCAAAAAGTAATGCAAACCATGTCGAACACGGCTCACCTTATAAAAAAATGGACTCTTTGCTGCTAATATTGGAGAGCTAATGTGTACAGTCTTTACTCGAAGAACAGTTGAAAACTCCACACTACAGGATGAATCAAATCTCTGAGCACTTTCATCACCTGCCAAAGTATATAGAACAGTCTGAAACATGTACAACATGACCAACTAATATCTTGAAAAAACAATATAACGACTGCCATCAATTAAATCCTACTACGAAAAAAATATGAACCTTAAATTTAACAAGTATAAGAGAAAATTGGAAGTAATAATTCAAAAAAAAAAAAAAATGCTAGAGACTTAATTATTCATCACCAAAGTTGTTATAATTGAGAATGTAGAGCAGTCAAATTCATATGGGAGAACAGAGGAGCTCAAGTTTGAATCGAAATAAACAAGAAAAAAGGTTCAAACAAATAGTTTGAATGTACCAAGTTGATTCATATTCATTCCAGCACCTGAAGGTAATTCCTCAATCATTGCCACAGCTTCCTCATCTTGATTTTCGTAGGCAACACCATCCTCTGTATCTGGCATAGTACAGTTTAGTATCTGCTCTTCGGGGTGCATGAGGACATCCACAGCTAAGGGTACAAGGGAAATTATGTCTAAGTCAGTAAAATCAAAAAGCATATGGGAGTGAAAGAAGAAACATAGAAAATCTCTGTTATAAAACTATAAAATAAGTTTGCTGATATTAATTTCTGCAGCAATGTACTTTTGCGGAAGGCACAAAGATTCTTAGTGGCAAATGAAAGTGCTGATTTGACGATATGGGGACATAAGCCCGGTGTTGTTGGCAAATTGAATCCTGAAAAGGCCCCCGACCATGTCCATTGGGTTTCTTTTATTGTACATCCTCAACCAGATGAATTTTGGTCAGAGATGGAGGAAGTGGATGCAGGCTTATGCTTATACTGCCACTGTTAGGTTCTTGGTTTTTCTAAATGGTGTACAAAAAGGTTCTATGAAGAGTTCAAGGGGCGTTTGAGAGGATTCCACTCTCCCCCTTGCTTTTCATTTTGGTCCTGGAGGTGTACGCAGGATGTTGGGAAAAGCAGTTACATCATAGCAAAAGACAAACAAGTAGAGGTGATTTTAGCCATGCATTTACTCTTCAGTCTTCACAAATGACACCCTTAACTTTTTGTTGGTCAAAATATAGGATACACCTCCAGAACAATGAAACAGTGGAATATAAAGCGAGGAATTTATCATAACAAAATGGGCTGCTAGCTGCACTGAGTGATTCAATTGAATAAGGTCTGGGGCATGGTCCAAGTCCATTAGTGCTAGTAATAACTTAAGTTTTGAAGAAGAGAGTAATAATTTCATTGTTTGACCAGAATTCTGTCCAACTGGCAAGCTATTCTCCGTTGGCTGAACTCTTTGTTAGACAACATCAAGGAGTCCAAATCCCATTTTTGTTTCACAAAAGCAAGAGCCTCAATGCTTTCACTTGATTACACGATGAATCGGGTTGCTAAAAAACAAGTTCTAATGGTCACAAAGAGGAGAAAGCTCGTTAACTCAATAACGCATTTTCCTTTGGCCTTCGCAAACAAGGAGTTTGGTTCAACTATTTATAGATATCGCATGTTATATTTGTTTAGTATATAGTTAGTTGACTAAACCCCTATGAATTAGTGCCAAAAAAGTAGCTGTTCACTTAACCTATGTTCTTACTATGCCATAAACTATCTATCGTCATAATCACAAGAAAAATAATCCCATTAATTATTTTCATCAAGGATACTTACTTCATAACTTCTGCAATTAGAAGTTTGGTCCAAAAACAGCACCTAGTTCCCATCCCAACCTCAACATGGCATGAGCTACTAGGGAATTGAACAGTCAAACCCACATCCAACTCACCCAACAAATCATTTCTCCAGATTCCAATCTCTCCTCAATCTGTGTTCTCAATATGAAGTTCCATGTATCGTATTCCAATATCTAAAAAGTAGCTGGTATCCAATTGCAATTTGCAATCACTCCTATGCCTTAGAAGTCATTAAAGAACAAAGGTAAACATTCCAAACTATGGCCTTTCACCTTCATTAATAAAATGGCAATAAGATATATAATCTCGGTGTTCACATAATATCACTCTTCCTATACATACCCAATTCTGCTACTGACTCTCAAAAAAGCCCTAATTTTACATACATCGATAACAAATACAAACCTTTCAAAACCAAAATCTGCCAAAATTCAAACTTTATCAACAAATTCCACAATATAGGTAAACACACAGAGACGTACATGTATATATTGAGTTCATCATATTAAGAAAAAACAAAAATCAAACCCTAAAACATTCAGCAATTCAACCATACTCGTATATTATATACTTATGTATATACATAGGTTGCTGAAATACCATTTTCTTTCTTGATTTCTTCTCGTCTACGTTTCCGATTCCGAGCCCACTCCGCAATACTGCTACAACCCTCGCCGTCCGACTTGGTATCCGGCAAATCCGGAACGATTTCGATTCTCAGAACCCGATCAGAGAAGTTGCTGTCGTTAAACGCGAAGCCGAAGTCCGAATCGGAAACTGACGCGATGTTCCCACCGCCCGGCGAAAAGTCCGACTCCATGACCGCCCGTGGATCGAAAAGATCGACGTTCGATTCCTTCATTCACAAAGATGAAAACTTTTAAGGAAAATTTGACTGTGATTACGCGGAACGAATCTCCAGGAAGATTAGGGACGGTTGAGATTGTGAAGAGAAACAGGGAATGGAAAGTATCGGTATGAACTGAAGCACCCAGAAACGAAAGTGAAATAATCCTAAATTTTAAATTTTTTTTTTTAAAGCAGATAATAGGCAAAAAAAAATAAAATTATTATAACAATTCAATCATTTATAGGATTGAATTGACAACGAGTTTGGTTCACAATAAAAATTGACAGCATTTACAACTAATTTCGTAATTAAAATAAATTAAATTTAAAAAAATATTATTATATCTACTATATATTTATGAGTTATTTATACTCATTTATTAATTAATTATGGAGGTCTATAAAAAGAAAAAAAATTAAAAAAAGATTGTATGGAAAGGCATTTGGGTTGTATTAGTTTTTAAATTGTGTTGAAATGCTGTTCCAGATGAAAAAGATGGTGGACAAATATAAGCCTCAAATTAGTTGTGTGGTGAGCTGGGTAGACGTCATCCTATATGTCATTTTCTTGGGTTTTTCCAAATTTTTTAAAATAAAAAATATTATCATCATATATATCATTTTCTAGCCTTTTTTTTTTGTAAGTCTTATAATCTTACCGGTGAATAGTTGGTCCGGGGAATAAGATATCATATTTTCTCGCTTAATGTCAATATTTGAATTCGAATTTTCATAATTACGGTAATTTGGTGGGGTTTTGTTTTGGGAGGGAGAAGAGAGAAGGAGGATTGAACCCTTCATTTCAAGAAGGTAAAATTTTCACAACATAAGACGTATCATTGAATTAAATGTTCATTGGTATTTTGATAGAGTTAAATCTACTCTTTAACGCCCAAAACACGTGATGAGACCTTAACTTCAAGTGCAATAAAATTTCTTGTTAATAGTTACGTGATACTAAGAGACAATATTCTCTAGCAAAAATATAGAGTAATATATTTATATATAAAATAAAAAGTCGAATGACCTTAGTGGCATGAATAAAAGATTTTCCACCCTTTTCTAGAGGTTGTTGAATTTAAGAAAAGGTCTTCAGTGAAAAAAGAAGAAGGACCCCTGAATTACTTTTCAAATTAAAAGATAAGAATAAATTTTGAAATCTTTGGAGTTTTTAAAAATTATCTCAATATACTAGAATGCAATCATTCAGAAAAGCATTTTTGGAGGATGATCAATTTCCCATAAAGATAAGCACAAGAAAAAAATTCGAAGTTTTATGCCATTTGTACTATAGGTCAAGCATCATTTTTGATAAAATACAATGGGTTTCTTTGAAGCTGATTTGTCAAAAAAAAAAATTCATTTTTGAAGAAAATAAGTTTAGTTTGATTGAACCCAGATTTATTAGGCGACTTTTTCAATTTTTAGATAAAAATAACTTTTATCAGTACCAAGAAAAAACTGAAAAATGAGATTTATTCAAGGATTTTTAAAAGAAAATCGACTTTTTTGTAAACACTTTAAACGGTTTTAAAAATATTTTTAACTCTAATTTTTATATTTCACTTTCAAACTTCTGTTTTGCACCCAAAAAAATCAACTTCAAAAGGCCAATATATCAACCTTTTAACAATTATTAAGGAGAGCTAATAGTTTTTCTTATATATAGGTAACTTTTTAATTTATATATATATAGGTAACTTGAAAAATAGCAGAACCAAGCGTGATAAAAAATCTCTAAAATACTATTTCAGTTGGTTGAGGCTTGTTGGCATTATGGGCTTTCCTACAGAAATTTTTTATGGGCTTTTCTAGCCCAAGGACAGCCCAAATTTTGCATACAATGTGTGAAGTGGACCCATTTGCTAGAAGGTAAAGATGGTCTAAGCCATAAAGCGTAGTAGGCTTTAACAAGAGATGGAAGTATCAAGCCCTTGGGCAAGCCAGCCCAAGATTGTGCTTGGGAGGTAAATGCAGTGGGACCGGCTTCTTTGCCTCTGGACAGATTGACAATTAGCCTTGGTGTACTTCTCCTGAAGAGATGGAACTGTCGTCCGTTTTCTTGAAGTTTCTCTCTCTATGGTTATGGTTCATAATTGGGTCTAGTTTTACAAACTCGTTTTTATTTTAAAAATAAGGTTAAAAAATTATTTAAACTTGATTTATTTATCGGGCTCGAATTGAACCCAAAACAAGTCTAAACTTAAGCCAGGTCAAGCCCGACTATTTTTCAAATAAACGGGTTTAAAAATTGTTTAAATTTAACTTGTTTTAGAAAAAAAATTGAACCCAAACTTAAAATAAACTGAGCACGAGTCGAGTCTAAATAATTTGATTGGATTATTAGCCATATTCTTGCCTTGTGCCTCGAGGTTGAGAGAGAATGGGCACGAGTCTCTAAGTAGCCATTGAAAGTTCTAGGGTTGAGTTGGATAGGATCAAATTCAATCGGTTAGATCTATGGAATTTAAATAAATCAGATCCAATCCTCAAGCAAGCACTCGGGGTAACAACCGAAGCAATGTTAAAAAGAAGTGTGTATCACTATAATCATACTGAAAAATCATTGTGCAACAACTAAGATATCTTTAAAATCTTCATAAACCCTGATATATTCTTCACAGAATAAGTTGTGATTAACATGCACATATTCTAGCATTTTGCTACTTTGGAGTTGTCGAAGTTTCTCAAGTCGCAATTCAAAAATAACACAGTGAGCACTGCACAAGTCGTCGTCTTTTGTTGGTGGAAATGAGTTTTATTGGGTAATTAAAACAACATTCTATAGTACAAAAACCCCATTTGCATAAGCAAAATATAGATTTCCAATTGAATAACAAAACATGATTAAGAAGTTGTTGTTCCAAAAATTTGTTGTTATCGACGAAAAAACCTCAATTAGCAGACAATTATGAGATGATTGTTTGTGTGAGATTCAAATACCTTATTTCAATGCTTTCTTGGATAAATTTAAATGGACAAACATATAGTGCAGATAAATAATAAAAGAAGATCCATTTCTTAATTTAATCGAAGAGATTTTAGTTACAAAAAAGATTGATTAACAACCTTGAATACAGAAGTAACTGTCTTTTAAATCTAATTTAAAACTACTCCTAAAAATACCCAGATTATAGGTCATGTAGGAGTTTGAATGTATGTCTTCATCTTCTTCACTGCGTGTGTCTTTTATAATCATTGTCCTCAATCATTTTCTTTCTATTGACGGTTATCTAACTTTCGAATAATTATTTCTTTTTTTTAAATATGATTGTGACTGATTGTCTCTCGCTTATCTTCAGATTCTACGTGACATTTTCTTATTACATCTAAACTCTCAGATATCAATACATAGAATATTGATAAAATTTATTTTATATCCGAACAGAAGTATTCGAGTTCGATGAGTCGGGTAGATCCTTGGAGATCGATTAAGTGATTGTTTTTGGCTCCTCTCAACAATTAGCTTCCTAAAGTTCAGTTGGGTTGCTTACATTAATCCCTGTCTGATCAACAGCATCTATATTTTTTCATAAATTATGCAAAAGAAAAAGATGACAATAAATTAAGAAAATAATCATCTAAACTCGTACATCAAATCACATCAGTAAAGCACTTTCTTTCAGGAATAATCCCTTCAATTATCAAAATCTTAATTCCAATCGGAATTTATCATCCAAAAACCAAAAAAGAGAGAAAGGAGAAGAATAAGAAGCTCGAAGAAAAGACCTAAAGGGTGATATATGCAACACTCTCATTCCCAAGTACAATTTTGAAACATATCAGCATTCTTAAATATTTGCTATATTAGGTTGGGTTCTCATACTTTTCAAGTGAACCTTTGCTTTATATATGAATAAACTTTTTATGTTTCATTATTGATACTTTAAAAAGTACTAAAGTTAAATTCTGTCTCCCTATAGCTGTGTGCTCTCTCTCCTTTTTTTTTTTTTTTTTTAGTTCAACGGTTATAAATTTTTGTCTCAGATTTTGCGCTTCTCGACTAATTTTTTATTTGGTCTAGTTAAGGGCTGACTATCCATGCTGATATTACAAAATTCATAAGGGATAAATTTTTCATGGATTGACTTTAAGGGGTTGTCAAAATTTAAACTTAGGACGTCTGAATTTACAGTTCGTGTCTATTACCACTTAAATTACTTTTAAGATTAACTATGTGCTCCATCATAACAAGTGAATACCAACTTTAACGAACAATTATTTGGGTATTTTATATTTTATAAATCTCTATTTTTTTAGTTGCTAAGGGGCCGACACCAAGAATTTTAAGATGCATGATACTGAGATATTTGAAGCATAGCAATATAGCAGCCGGGGTGTATCTTGAGTACTCTTAGTTGCATGCTTTTGGTGGCCATCTAAATGGTTTAAACATCCATGTAAGGGATTTGTCTGTGTAGCATCTCATGACCTAAGCATAAAAACAAGATGAATCAATAAATTCTTTTTTTTTTTTTTGTTGTTGATGTAGTATCTATCTCTTGTATTTTATTGTTCATTTCATTCAAGGTTAGATCATCTACATAAAATCATATTACATGAATAATCAATTTTTTACTTTAGTACTTTGTCAAAACAAATAATTCTCTTTTGTTTCAAGGTTTTCGCGTCGACTATTTGTCGAGACTAAAAAGTTTTTGTTTCAGCAGTAAGTCGAAACTAATCTTTTACATCGGGGCTTTTTTACCACACTCTTTTTCTCGAAGCAAGACATTTTTTTGCCAAAGTAAAAAGTTTTTCCTTCAACACCAAAACCTTTTGTTTCGGTAAAGAGCCGAAACAAAAATCCATTTTTTCTTTTAGTGAGTAAGTTCTTTGATCACATATATTTGGTGATTTAGCTTTAATATAATCGAATAAAAAAATATTAGAGGGTATTTGAATTCGTTAATAAACTACTTTCATACTATAACTATTGTGTATAATGGAACGAGTTAGTGTATCAAATATTTGAATTATAGATTACCTATTTGTAATTTGTGAGGATAATCCTATAATTACTAATACAAGGTAGAAGATTCACACAATTCACATTTCATATAACGCATCTCTTCTATTTTTCTTTGAATTTTTTCCCGACATGATCAACAATTCCAAACAACCTTTTGGTGATATCATTTTAACCTAAACAATATCAAATCAATTCCAACCATTAACCCCTGGGGGTAAAAATCT